GTTTTCAAGACTAAAGTCCAGAAGAAGACTTTACACCCAGCTTGGAATGAGTTCTTCGAGCTCGATGTACCTTCAAGAACAGCAGCGCATTTCGTTTGTAATGTCATGGATTGGGACTTCGGTGACAAGGCCGACTTCCTTGGCAAAGCCGAGATTAACCTAAACCTCTTGGAACCATTCAAGCCAAAGGAAATGAGCTTAGCTTTAGAAGGTAAATCGGGTTCTATTCGTCTACGCTTGCTATTCCGCCCAGACTACGTGACTAGGTCGAGACAAGGAAGTTCGACGTTCTCTGGTACGTTTGCTACGCCAGGAAAGATTGTTACTGGAGTCGCAGGAGCTCCAATCAAGGGTGTTGGCTTTGCCGCACATGGTGTTGGCAAAGGTGCTTCCTTTATTCGACACGGCTTTAAAAGTAAAAAGAAGGATGAAGACGACCCTAATGGCAGCATTAGTTCCGAGCAAGATAACGAAGCTCCTATTACTAATGGCAGTGGTGGATTAAAGCGTGGAAGTGCTCTCCCCGGCTCAGGAGTACCAATTCCAGAAATCATGCCTCCAAAGACACCTCCAGGAGAACCGAATCATGCACGAACCAAGTCTTTCGGAGCATCCTCGGGGCACTCTGGTATGTTTGGTTCTCCTGGTGCTTCAGGTGGACCTGTGGGTATCGCAAACTTCACAATTGTGTCTGCATCAGGATTTCCACCTTCGTCGAGCGTTATGGTCTATGTTAAATCACTGGGTGCCAAATCTAAAGTCATTCACAAGACTGATCATATCAAATCGCCTAATGGCACCGTACTTTTCAACGAGAAGAAAGAAAGCTTTAAATGCACCACTACTGCAGATGCGACCTTCCAAGTGTCTGTCAAGGCACACAATACCTTTGGTTCAGACGATGATCTTGGCGAGGGAGCTCTTGTCGTAGATGAAACTGGCACAATGCAAGAAAAGCAAATCCGTTGTGGTGCGGGCTACATTACGGTAAAATCTAATTTTATCATGAGCTCTACCGAGAATGGATCGGAGAGTCCGAAGACCCGTTCAGGTTTTGGAAGAAGCTTGCTTAGCAAGAAAGAGACTGGCCGAAGTAGCAGAGACATCACACCCGTCGGTACACACGGCTCATAGTAGGATAAAATACCCGAGTTGATATTTAGGGGCAAAAAAGGGATGGATGGTACATTTTCTGGCAGGGGGGTGACCTGACTCTTTCGCGGGCTTTTTGCGGAGGGACAGATTGTCGAAAGCTTACGATGGATTTTGCTTTCCTGTTCTTGTTTCTATGGGAAGGAGATACCATGGCGAGTTTGGTTGTTCATTTATTGCGCGTTATTCCTTACCGTATTTGACGAATTTTCTTGATTGAAGCTGGCGCAGTTAATATTGGTACAATAATCATCCGGAGAGAGCATGAGGATTTTGAGAGCACTGGGGGGTAAAGGGGTTGATGGGCGATGTAGGCCTGGATGATGTGGAATGGATATTTGGATTGAAAAGGGAGTGAAATTGGGGAGACGATCCCTTGCGAGGCAGAGAAATCCATATTTCCGCTGTTGTACTGTATTATGTTGTGAGAAGCTCTGCTCAGCACATTGTGTGAAGAGAAAAAGAAAAAGATCCTAATACAAAACTTGATCCATTTGCTTTGCAGATGAATTTGCAAATTGATTGCCTTCTTCTTCCACTACTCCTGTTGTTTTTCCCACTTTTGACGTTTGATGTAATCGATATATTATCTCTGTAGCCTCTCGGAGGGATCCGATGAAGTTTCCTTTGAGATTTTCTTAATAATTTCGAATTCTCGCCGAGAATATTGAAATCTCATGAGCTAATCTGCTAATGCAGTAGAACGACCCTCAGCGTATGCAAGTACAAGGTTAAAAAAGCCTAGTCGACAAAAGATTGGACCCAAGCTGATAGAAAAGTACCGGGTTATTTGCAAGTTGGAACTTGGAAAGCAAAGATTTTGTTGGACCTTGTTCTTGGATGGAAAAAAAATCAAATATATGTGTTTCCTATAAAATGTACATACATGTAACTTTTTGTATGCTTTTTTTTTATACCGTAACAATAAGAAATTGTTGGAAAGATCGATTGGATCCATTCTAATTTTCTAGAATTGCTTGCATTAAAGTTTCCCGACGCAATTGGGTTTCAGAGAGCAACTTGTGAATCACCAGCTCTTTTCTACCCGTTAATAACTCGAGGACTGCAGAGCTTGCTGCAGCGCTACATTTCCCCCGCCACCATTTTGAGTTTCCATTATATAAAACATTGCTACCCCGCAAAACCGCTCGAGTTACGATTCAGAATTTCCGATCCAGTGGACCACGAGGTATTCATAGCGTCACCGCTGTCTGTTTCTCTTTCCTTAGGGTACCCAGAGTACGATTCGCGAAATATAAAAGTCGGGGTGTCGCACAGACGGGGAAGGAGGTAGAAAAAATATTTTCTTCAGAATGTCGTTGTCGCAAAGAGTCACGTCGTTTGAATCGCTGTCGCCGGAAAGAGGCAGGTCCCCGGCGGGTTCGCAGAGGAGGAAATTGAGCTTTAGTCCGTTGCCGGGAAATTGGGGGGATGAGTTGGAACCGCAGGAGCAGGTGGTGGAGGAGATCGAAACGGTGGCTGCGTTTGACGTTTCGAAGGGGAAGCGGATTTGTAAGTGTTTTTGTTGGTTGTGTTGGTTTGTGGTGATGCGCAGGCGGCATTGGAATGTTGGACTGCGAATTTTCATCTCTACATCGTCTCGTCTGGGGTTCGAAAATCATTATGCGGAATTGGAATCTTACTAATTGAACTCTCAATTGTAGTACAAGTCGCAATTGCAGTCGTATACTGTCTCCTCGCTGCCGGTATCGTCTTCGGATATGCAGCGCTTAAACCAGTTCTTATTCGCGAAGGTGTTTATCGGGATTATTGTACAGAAGATGAATTGAAAGAGGGAGTACGAACTTGCTTTGAGCAGGAGATACATTTGAACTTGATGTTCACGATTGCTGCGGTCGGTACGAATGTTGCAGCTTTACCAATTGGCTCTATCTTGGACAATTTCGGTCCAAGAGTAGCTGGTATCATAGGAAGCATTTTCCTGGCGGCTGGAGCTACACTTTTTGCTTTTGCTGATGAGTTACCCTTTGATGGATTTATTCCAGGATATTTGTTGTTGGCACTTGGAGGAGCTTTCTTTTTGATCACCTCTTACCAGCTTTCAAATACCTTTCCTAAGCATTCTGGTTTGATCTTGGCTCTTTTGACTGGTAAGTAACGATTGTTCTGTCTCTATCATCGAATTCGATCTAATGATTTTCAAGGTGCCTTTGACACCTCTAGTGCGCTCTTCCTCGTATATCGAATCATATATCAATGGAGCGATGGAACTTTCCACATCAAACAGTTCTTCCTCATCTACCTGATCGTTCCGGCTTTCATTCTCATCGCACAAATATTCGTCATGCCTTCGCAATCGTACAAGACAGTAGGCGAAATGGTTAAACAGGTTGAAGATGATGATATATTTGACGATCAAATGGACGAAACTACAGCTCTTCTTCGCGAAGAGCGTCGTCAACGTCGTGATTCCATTGTCTCAGAAATAACCGAACTTTTGGGCACCAAGCCGGGCAGCAAACAAGTCAAACAAGAAGAGCGCAAGAATAAAATCTCCGGTGTATGGGGAGTGTTACACGGAAAAACTGTAGTACAACAAGTCCTGTCTCCGTGGTTCGTCCTCATTACCCTTTTTACCGTTATCCAAATGACACGGATCAATTTCTTCGTCGCTACCATTCGTCCACAATACGAGTATCTCCTTGGTTCCTACAATAAAGCCGTCGATGTTAACACGTTCTTCGATCTGGCTCTTCCCTTAGGAGGCGTCCTCTCAATCCCTTTCATTGGCATCATTCTCGACAATACCAATACCACATTTGTGCTCTCCCTCCTCGTGATCATCGCAACCACCATTGGCGTTCTCGGCATGCTCCCCTTTTCCTGGGCCGCCTATGCGAACATCTCTCTCTTTGTCCTCTACCGTCCCTTCTACTACACCGCCGTATCCGATTACTCCGCCAAAGTTTTTGGATTCCGTACTTTTGGAACCGTCTACGGATTAATCATCTGTTTAGCGGGTCTTCTCAATTTCAGTCAGAGTGGTTTAGATGCCCTCCTCCACAAGGTCTTCAACGGAAACCCAGTCCCGATTAATGGTATGTTGATGGGTTCAGCATTGATTGTGGGAATCATCCTCTGTGCTTTTGTGGGCTGGAAAGCATACACTTTGAAAAGAGATGGCTTGGAAATGGAGGCAGAAGCTGCGAGAGAAACAGTCATGCCGGGTGCGGAGAGTCCGGAACGATTATAGGTTCTTGATTGGGTATTTAACCCCTTGAGTAATATTTATTGGAAAATGGGTTCTTGTGATTGGAAACATAAATTGATGGATGCATGGATGCATAAATGCATGGACAGGCGTTTTTGGTATATTTATTTCGTCTAGGCAATGAACGAGCGTGCGAGCGTGCTTGGTGTTCATCTGTATTTGGATTCGAATTCGGGTTTGGGGAGTCATCTTATACATATCTTATCTTACCATACATACCATACATACGTATACACGCACGCATATATTACATTCTAGGGGTTTAGCGAGGAGATAGATATCCTGTATTGTTGCGCTATCGTTGAGGTATATTTTTAGTAGAAGTAATTATCCATATACACATGGGAGAATACATAGTTTGAAGTCGATCACTTTGGAGTGTTTGTTTCTTTGGACTATTATTCTTGAAATATGAACATAAACGCAACATTGAACCTTAATTCTATGTCCAAAATTAGCTGTAAAATCACAAAGCACAATACCCATATCAAGGGCAACTTGCGTTGTGATCGGCAGAGAATTGCTTGAAGAAATCCGTTTCAAAGCAATGCCAGATAGTTAGTTGAAGAACCCATAGTCACAATCACAATGGCAATCGAGCGATTCAGGACCTCAAAGAGAGAATTCGTTTGAAATTTGAATAGCCCATTCATACGATGATGCTAACACATACAATAACGTATACAACGCTAATCCTCAGCATGATGAAAAGGAAACTATGCAACCCAAATACCCTATGAATGCTGATTTTCTAAGAAAAGAAAATACCACCCTTAATTCTATACATTTTCTACCTCACCTGTCTCCATCTAACTCAACTTCAATGCTGGCGACACTTTTCATCATCATCTGGTTCAAAATATGAAGGTTGACTCCCAGAAACACCATGTTGACAAAACATTATTACACCGCACCCTTTCCCCACCTTATCTCTACAACTATTCAGACGCAGGAGACAATGGCCGAACGAAGATCTCCTGCATTAATTTTTGGGCGTCGGCGAGCTCGTTTCTGAAAGCATCCAGCTTTTGGCCAACTTCTACCAACATTGAAGATTTTTTATCATCCAGTTCTTTTACGTTGGCCACGACTCCCTGTGTAGTTTTTCGGAAGTGAGCAATGTTCCTTTGCAAAGTCTTGAGCTTTCGATCAATGTCTCTCACAATTGACAATTCTCCATCCTTGGGGGTTTCCGGGTGTTTATCAGGCAGAGCAACAGTTTCTTCCGCGCTATCATTGTCTTGGGAGGTGTCAGTTTGGGAGCCATCCAGCTTTTGATTCGGATCTAACCTTGGTGATTCTCCATCCTGTGGATTTTCTGGGTGCTCTCTTGGCTGAGCAGTGATTTCCTTCGTATCTTGGGGCATCCTAGCGAGATCGGGTTTGAGACCATCCAACTTTTGATTAGTGCCTATTGCGTTTGATGATGTTCCGTTCTTTGATCCTTCGGGGTGCTCCTGTGCAATCCAGTCCGTGAGCGTACCGATGAGTGGACGTGGACACAAACGCAACCTCTTGTACCCTTCCCACAAATTAAAGTATGGCGAGTCACATGAGGGTCGAATGTCCATGCTCATTTCAACGCCAGGTGTGGTGTCAATGTATATACTTGGTTTTTCCAGCTTGATCCTAACAATTGGACATAATCTGGGTACATACGTTTTCTCCCATGGCACGTCCTCATAATTAGCAGCAAGCTCATCCCAATTATCTTTTGTGGAGGTTTGCTTTATCATGGTAGGGATCAAAGAGTGTCGAATGATGTTTTTGCTTATGCGCTCTGCCAGTGCCTCCAAAGTTTGGAATGATGATTCTTCTATCGTCTAGATATTGGATAAGTGAAATTAGTAAATGGGTTACGCAAGATGGGGAATATGCTGACTACCTTCACAACGATTTGCTGTATATCCCAATGAAGATCCCCCTGGCCAACCCATCTATCTATCTCAATATTCGCAACCACATTCTGCTTCATGGTGCGTTCTTTTGGCAACAAGCCTATTATGGTGGGAACTGTAAGGTCATGCAGTCGAAGGGTAGAACTTTCTCCGATAATCCCAGTTCTGTGAAAAGTGCCTAATTCCTGTTCTTCTAACGAAGGTTCTTTGTAAATCGTTTGTGCAGTAAGACTGGCACCAGCTCCTCGTAAAGATGATTTCGGAAGCATGATTCTGATCGAGGACCAATTGACGTTCCTCCCTACTGCAAGACTGCGCCTAATAAGAACAGAAGCGATGAATATACAGATTGACTTCATGGAAAGTTCGCTTGCAAAGTCAGGTGTTATACCTCTTGCATGATAAGCCCTGACACCGTCGATAATTGCTAATTTGATGAGGCCATAATGAATAGTGTCCCCTGCGATGTCATCATCTTCAGATGCCTTCTTGAAAGGTCGTCGTAAAGCAAGGGACACCGAGACAAGAGCTGGTTGTTGTGGACAAGTAGACTCAACCCAATCCCCAGTCCACCCATCGGCTCCGGCCATGACCTGCAATTGCATGTCTTTGATGCCAATGACAGCAACAGGCTCTTCACGAGCTTTTGAAAGCTCCCAGCTTGACATCCGTTGAGAGGAATTGTATGCCATATTCAACAAAGATGAATGATCCTGCTTCTATTAGTCTTTGTCTCTGGCCTGATAGACGAATCCCCAATGCTTACTTCACTAAGAATGGTGGAAATATTGCTAAGATCAGCTCTTGAGTTTATGTATTAGTGAATGCAGGAATCCAGAGATTTGTTGCCAATTGTTGCCAATTGAAGTTATAGTGAGAGCAATTAGAAGTACTAATATGTAAATCGAAAAAAAGCGAGGGGAATATTGATGTGATGAGGGATTATTTGCCGTTTGCAAGTAATGAATGCAGAGATGAAAATACAAAAGGTGCTGGAAAACTTACTGGGAGTCCATTGTGATTGCCAATCAAGCAATGGCGAGGTTAATGAGGAAGGGGCGGATATGAGGTTGTGACATGGAAATGATTTTGTAGGATTGGGGAAACAACGGTCATGTTGTTGGCGGGGTACAATGTAAATGGGCAGAATAAGGCGGCGAAAGAAATTGTGAGATGTCTGTTTGATGGCGGGGTACATTGTTTCATTGTCACAAAATTTCACTTGAGCAAGCCTTGATTCTACGTGAAAATTGAATTGTACTATTTTATTAAAGGGCTCTATGCATTACAAGGCCAATATATTCATCCCTCTGAAGTGATATATTGTCATCAATCTTCTAGTAGTTGGAAAGTACCATTGACAAGGTATAAGTCTCAGAGCTAGCCTGCTGCCTCAAGCTATTAACGCCATTTACCCATGGCTTTATCCGTAGATTGATGGCATTTGCCAATGCCCCCTGGATTCCACTTTGATAACCCAAAACGCCTTTCCCCATCGTACAAATGCTTTTAGGCCTTCTTAGGCATTTTAGGAGTACATACTGGACATATCCAGGTGCCCAAGGGATCACTCTTAACGCCAACACAAGACCAATGAAACCATTCATAAGGACAGTCTTCGTTATCGCATGCCACCATGTCTCCATAGCTGATATTGTGACAAATGCAGTATTTCTTATCATCTCCACCCTCTTCGTCATCGACATCAACCATATCGTCGTCTCCATCAGCGTCCTTGCTTTGACGTCTGGTGTTTTCTTCTTCTTCGACGGAGCCAGATTCCGCATCGCTAAGCTCACTGTCGTTTGCAGAGGATGGCGAGTTTTTATGTCCCCGCTTCAATCTACTAAGACCAGACTTTCCAGGTTTACCTTTGCGTGGAGCGCCACTTTGCCTGCTGCCCTGAGGTGCCACTTTCTTCTTCTGCGAATTTCTTGGCCCAGCACTACCACCACGTACGGCAGATGGTGTACCTCCACGAGGAGTACCCGGAGTCATTGATGAATGGCGAGCAAGTCCACTAGAGGCAGTTGGTAGGGTACTCAGTCCTCCAGTAAGTCGTGGTCGCTTGTTCATTGCGCCAAGTGATGATTCCCGAGTTTGCCTTTGGAGAAGTAAAGTAGCCGCGGGTGTTGCTGGAGCAGAAGATGCCATTGCGCCATTAAGCTGGTTACTATTGGCAGATATTCTGGAATTGCTTGGGTGTCGTGCATGAGTGGAGGAGACTGAGTTTATGATTTCACCAAGTGGTCTCGTGCCGCCGTGGGAATCTAATCGGGAGCGATCGATCGGTTTTGGGTCTAGTAGTGAAGGCAGATCTGGATCTTTTGGAAATTCTCCTTTGATTTGTAGCGTTTTGATTTGTTGGTCCAGACGTCGAACGTGTCCCTCAACAAGGCTTTCTAGATCCTGACATAACTTGATTTTCTCATCTTGAAGGCGCTCTGCTTTTTCATAATTCTCGAGTATTATCTTGTTCAAGGTTGACTCTTTTGGATTTGGCTGGTTTGCCCCGTTCGCCTTGGTCCATTTTTGAAGAGCAGCGTCGTGCTTTGCTATGGTAGCGAGGCACTCGTGCATGGCTTTATCCTTTTCTCCTATCTCATCTTGCTTGAAAGCAATTTCGTGGGGTAAATTTGCGACACGGTTGATCCAGTCATCGAGAACTCCCGCTGTATCTAGTTGCTCCATCTGCGGCATATTGATATTATTTTTGTATTTAGGGACAAAATCGATGGAAAGGTCGTCTCTGGGCATTGTTATTAACGTTGAGGGGAATCCCGCAGCAAACGTATGTTATGAAGGTAAGATGCGATGCCCGAAAACAAAAAGAAAAAGAAAACAAAAACAAAAGACAGATAGGAAGATGTAGGTATCATGAGAATATGATGCCCTTGATAGGAATGAGTGCGCATGCAAAATTGAAGTTGCGACCGCTTACCTTGAATATTAAAAATATTGATGATAAAAGTTACCAATCATCTGCACAGGCACAGTATAGATTAGTGAAGGGGGTGGCTCCAGCAGTCTTATCCTATTTGATTAAGAAAAATGGGAATTTTCCTTTTACAAATAATTAATTCGAGGGGCAGGGAGGCGAGTGAATGCGCGGAGGGGGGTTTAGCTGAACCACCACACGAATGCACACAGGTGGATGGGAGTGTTTGCTTGTTGCCCGTCTTCCTAGTTGTGGGTTGTGACTGACTTGTGACGATTAAAAAGGAATAGAGCACAGAGCCGAGAAAGAGATGGATGATAAGACAAAGGCCCAGAACAAGGACAAGTGCAAGCAAGTACAAGCACAAGCACTCGAGTTATCATAAAGAGGTAGAAAAAGTAGGAAGGGAGGGAGGTAGGTAGTTAGATAGGTACTTTAGGTAGATAGACGGGTAGGTGAGGTCAGCATACAGCCACTCGGCAAGCCCAAAGGATTGGATATCCGAATAACAATGCGAGGTAGAGGAAGAAAGTCAATAAAAGATTAGAATGGACACGATCTATGATAGACCTTTCATATCGCCTTCAATATCCACATAATAATAAGTTGTCATGATAGAAGCAGGTGCTTGCCTTGTTTTTGGAGATTGAAACTAATTAGTAAGCATGAGTTCAATCGCATTCAATCAATCATCTTTCCGCAGAGCCTCAATAATAATTTATTGATATTCAATGATTGGGTGATCGAGACCTTGAACTCAATCAATTCCGTTGTATTCTACTTATTTACACCTGCCCTTTTTTAATCAAAAGATCGATTCAGCTCTTATATTTATTTCACTACCTACCTACGCCATCCATGAAAGGAGACGACAACTATCAATACCTATCAGAGAAAATTGTCGAGATCGAATCATCCCATTCGAAATATTTCATTCGCCTACCTATACCATTCGCAAAGTGACGAATAACATTACAATTCTTACCAGAGGGGAGGGGAGAGGAAGGAGCATACTTAGCTATGATATATAGCTCGAGTTCTACTATCTCTAGAGCTCTACAAAAATTATTGGAATTCGATTTGCTTCCAAAGAACATGATTCGGTGAATAGCAGATTTGAAAATAATCGGTTTGCTTCCCAAAGTCCCAGACGAAAAGTACAGACGGTACACACCTTCATCGAGAGCTACCAGCGAATTGCATGTTGCGCATCTTCCTATCATCTACCCACTCGCATATTTCCGTCGAGCGCATTTTCTGGATCACCCACGAGGCTTTAAATTCATGATCACCCCATCAAGGATTGTTGCAGCATCGATTCACACAACAATTGCGCTCAATACCTAAGGCCTTTTAGCAATAATCAAAATGAGCTCTATTGTTCAGGAATGGGGGGTTCCACTACAAGAACCAAATGACTCTGATAATCTAAGATACCTTGAGGAGGTCAAAAAAGAAGTTATAAAGAATGGAATCGTTCGGCCGACGGGATATAATGTTTCGTTTCATATGAATCCTATGATCGAAAAACATCATTTCGGACCAAAACATCCTATGAAACCGTGGCGTTTGACTCTTTCAAAAGGGTTGATTATGGCATATGGTATGCACGTCGCTATGGATACTTATGTTTCACGTGCGGCAACTCAAGAGGAGTTGGAGGATTTCCATACTCACGAATATCTCGAATATCTAAAAAGTGCCAAGGTCGGCCCACCAGACGAACGTATAGAAACACCATACAACCTTGGTAGTTTTGATTGTCCTGTTTTTGATGGACTTTTTAATTATTGTTCGATGTACTCGGGCGCATCGATTGATGCTGCTCGGAGCCTTTGTAATGGAACATCAGATATTGCCATAAATTGGTCCGGAGGTTTACATCATGCCAAAAAGACTGAAGCTTCTGGGTTTTGTTATGTGAACGATATCGTACTTGCAATACTCCAACTTTTAAGAAAGGTTCCAAGAGTTCTATATATCGATATAGATGTCCACCACGGTGATGGAGTAGAAGAAGCTTTTTGGTCAACAGGCAGAGTCATGACTGTTTCCTTCCACAAATGGGATCCTGTAAACTTCTTTCCTGGAACCGGCGCCTTAGACGATACCGGCCCGAAGAATGAAAACAATCAAGGTGCTCATCACGCTGTCAACGTCCCATTGAACGACGGTATCGACGACGAGCAATATATTAGGGTGTTCAAGCAAGTCATTGATAAATGTGTCGAAAAATTCCGTCCTAGTGCCATAGTCCTTCAATGCGGAGCCGATTCGTTGGCAGGTGATCGCATAGGAACATTCAATGTTCTTGTTCAGGGTCACGGCGCTTGTGTTGAGCATGTCAAAGGGTATGGCATACCTCTTATGCTGGTAGGAGGAGGCGGTTACACACCTCGAAACGTTGCACGTGCTTGGACAAACGAAACTAGTATCGCAATTGGTGCAAAGCTGAACGAGGAACTTCCAATGCACACACCGTACCGCGATCATTTCCGGAATCAATCCTTATACCCAGACCTAACTGAGTTGTTGAGTGCTAAGGGATCAGTTCCTAAAGGTCAAACGGGAGCGAGAAAGAATCACAATTCAGAGAAAAAAATCAATGACATTGTGTCCAGCATCCATGAACAGTTGCGCTTTGTAGAACACGCGCCAAGTGTACAAAGTCAAGATCTTCCACCTGATTTAGGAGCCTGGAAACAAGATGTTGAGGATGAGATCAAAGAGGCAAAGGAGCAAGAGGAGTCATATAGGCTACAGAGGGAAGAGGGTCTAGGCATTCTGCGAGAGTATGCTTAAACAAGCGAGACTAGTACTTGGAAAGCTGTGCTGGATAGCTCTCGTTTAAGGGGCATATTGCATAACATTGGTGGCGTTTGGATGGTGCAGGAGTTACAAAGAATATACCGGAATTATGGAAGCGGAATTTTTGATAGTATCGAAAATCATGAAATTATACCCAGTCATGATTATGACAAAAGGGAGAAGGCATACACTTGGTCGTTGCCGGGCTGTTGGTAGGTCACAAATTAGACAATACAATTTGAACTATCTGTGTATTTATGACTAGAAGTCAAACCAGCTTCTTGTAGTTGTTTATGATTACTCTATTTACCATTATGCTTATTATCTAATTATTTTATAACCCACCCGAGCCACTCTATGTATAAACACCGTAACCGTTATTCTCGACTCCGCCCGCCCATGATTAATTTATTCGTTTGATGTTTAACTTCACTGCACCTTCACTGCTTCTCGATATTCAAGTACTTCCCGTTACTTTTTTTACAAATTCAGGAGCCGGATCATAGAGCATGACGTGGAAATGCTCTACCGAATGTATCGATTTCAAGCTTCTCCAATTCCTAAACCAAATCACCTACAAATGAAATTTCTCGTCAGCTTTCTTCACATGACATTGCCATACCCAGGCGAAATAAATCAATGCAAGCCATGATTAACAAGTCCAAGCAAGTAACATTAAAATCTCACTCGCATACAGATACCGAGCATTCGTAGCAAGGAAAAGGGAAATGAAAATGAAATCAAAGAGTAACTCACATTCTCCCCTCCACACTTCTCTCCAAACACGCGATCCACCCACCTCTGAATCTCCCTCTTCACATCCTCCCTCGTATCCCCGGTCTCTAGATCATCCTCCAACGCAAACTTCGTCCACACCACCAAATGTACAATTTTCTCATCAATCCCATAGGGCCAATCATTTCTCAAAATTTGATAGTCCCCTCGATTCCTAAACGGGGCGTCTTGCGCCTGCACATCTTCTTGTTTCCACTGGAGTTTCTCGTCCAAGATGAATCGCATCATGGACCCGTGGGTTTGTTTGATGAGGTAGCAGTATTCGAGATATTTGCGGAGGTGGGAGGGTTTCCGCTGGAAGAGATCGAGGCGGTTGGTGCGGATTATGTGCTGTACGGAGGACCAGGTGAGGACGTGGTAGGCGGAGTCCGGGGTGAGAAGGATGTGGATGTCTTTTTGGGAGAGGGATTGCAGGGAGGGAGGGGGGTGGGGGGTGTGTGCGGAAGAGGGGAGGTTGGTTTGCCAGTAGGGGAGGAGGGAGGAGGAGGGAGAGGGACAGGGGACGGGGGTTATGCTACCCATGTCTGTCTTCTTTTTCTTTCTTCTTCGTTTATTATTATTTACTGTTCGGGATGATGATGGTAAGCTGGATTGCAGAACGCTGATAGGTGCTGCTGATTGGATGTGGTGATTGTAAGGACAAGGTGGATGGTAAGCGACGGGATAGATGGGAGATGGTGGATGCGGATAGGATGGATGGATGGATGAAATGGATAAATGGGAAATGGGTTGAAGATGTGGGGGTTATGGATGGGTGGGGAAGGAAGGATTTTTAATTAATTATTTGTTTATTTGTTTATTTGTTTTTATGGTGTGGTACTGGTGTCAAGTGAAGTGAGTGGTTGTACTCACTTATGGGTGTGTGGTACCGGTGGAACAGAGGATGAACACTGCATTGCCGGGTTGCTAGGAGACATTTTAGTGTGTTGGGGTGCCGGAAATGAAAGTTAGTACAAAGTACTACCTACGCTTGTGCTGTACTTTGGATATTAGGACAGCTCATAGGGATTTGATTCTGATGATCTTTTACGGAGTTGCGGAGTGCGCGTAGTATGGTAGACAGACGCTTAGATACCATGGGAACTTTGTACTCTGTGTTTGAACTCTACCCCTTTTCTTGTATCTTAGCTAGGACCCAGGTACCGAGTAGCTCTAGCTTTCCCCTCAAGATCTCTGAAGCGACTCTCCCGATTCTTCAGATGGCATTGGTGCCACACACACACAGTAGCTTATTACAAAATATATCATTCCCACATGCAATATACCATGGTCCTCAAGTTTGAAATATATAATATATTGGATCTTGATGTCACACATTCATCATCAATATATTTGTGACTGACGTGATTGGATCGTGCAGTGGTTAGAAATGAGATTTAGCTAGAGTTCATCGGACGCGAATCGAATTCATTGAATTGTTGCATCGGGCTGACTCCACCCTCATTTCCTGGGCCTGCTCTTCTTCGATTTATGGATTATGGCCTGGACTTTGATCACGCAACGGTATTGAGTGCTGCTTTAATTGAGTTGTGATTTATTTTGGTCATGTTGAATTTAATATCATGTACTACAGCAACGGATAGAAAGATAAAGCAGCACCCAATTGATTCTTCATTCGCTCACTTGCTCAATTACAAACTATCGAAGGCTTGAAGAAAAAGAATTTAAATAAGGAAAGATCGCAGAACAAGCATTAAAACTCACGATTGGGTTTGTTAGTGGATCCGTCCCAAACCTTCTTCCTGCAGCTGATGGATGCATTTTCCTTTCACCTCTTTGGTAAATTGTTCACATCCAGGGTTCCTTCCTGTTTGTATCGGTGAGTGTGAGTATGAGTATGAGATAGAAGCCTGTGTAATAACATAACTTAATATCAATGGATGGTATTAAGCAGTGGGAAATCAGAACGGAACCGAGTTTTCTTTTTCTTACAAACAATCCAGTTCATCTCATCTCATCTGTTGTGAAGAAGTCGATTCGTTTGGTTTCGATTCGTCTCGTCCGGTCTGTTGTTCACTTACTACTCATTCACTCACCCACACACTCATTCACTCACCCACACATTCATTCACTCACTCATTCACTCACCCACACACTCACACACACACACTCACTCACTCACCCACCCACACAACTCTCTTTATTTACAAAACATTTGAATGTTTGATCGGAAAGTTGAAGCTTGCTTTCTTTCCCTATTTCACTCTTTTGTTATCCTATCATCGTTCACTTTTCCAAATTTGAGATCGCATTGATACCAAGATCAGGTCAATTACACACACTCTTTCGAACTTTAAAGTAATTGAAGAAGTGCACCGTGCCGTGCCGTGACTTACCATACACATTCTTTCGTGTGGTGTTGAATATCTGGATTGGGTTAGAGACGAGTCTTGAACCATTACACTCACTTTCGCATTCGACTCAACAACCAAACTCAACTTTACAAATATCCCCAACCTCGAGATTATCTTTCTGATATAAGAAAGATCGCGTGAAGATCTACTTTCCAGTCAACTTCTGATCCGAAGATCAAACAACTTTCTTCGTCATCTCGACTCTACTAAGATACTCGATCTACATTCTTTCATTTACTAGATACCCACTCTAATACAACAAAATGGGAGGCAAACCACGCAACTTTGGGATGAAGGAACATCGTCCTTCGCCATTGAAACAAGAAGTCTCGCAAAGACCTATCTCTATGCAATCGCCCAGCATGGGTTTGGTTAGAGATCCCATGTTCTGGAAGAGGTTCTCGACAGCGGTACATATGTCGGAGGTGGATTTGAAGGGGTTGGAGAGTGGATTTGCTAGTGAGAGGGTGGAGAGAAAGGATTCTTATGGGTAGGTCTTTTTATGTTTTTTTGTGGTTGTGGATTGTTATGTCTTTTACGGATTGTGGGTTGGAGAGTAGGGAGATGGGAGATGAGGTGGAGGGGGAATAAGTAATTGAATGGATGGACAAGAGTATATGGGTATAGAGGAAAGGAATGAAGGATTTTGCTAATCATGTCGTGTGGAAATAGCGGAGGTGAAGATTGGCTGGATCAACAGTACAAGGAGAAACGTCGTTGCCGCTCCATCTGTATTGGAGTCACAATCTTGGTGTCTATTCTCGTGACTGCTGCTGTGGTAGTAGTGTTGTATTTCACGGGAAGAATACACTTTTAATGTTGAGACGTCTCGCTGGAAAGGAAGGATGAATGAAACGAAGAAGGACACTGACCTCTTCGAAACTACTTTTGACGATACGAAATGATATGATACGACAATGATAATGGAATGGCACTTTACATGGAAGGAATTAGAATTCGATTCGACAGGTTCGACGGCATGACAGCAACGAACTCAATGGTGTAGATATCTACCGTGCGCGAACTGTTGCGAAGAATTACTTTGTTTCTGATTTGATCTGGAGGAATGAATGGTGAATGGGTGGATGGATGAGAAGTTTGAAGTAGGCGATGCGATGCAATGCAATGCGATGGAAAGTATGAGTATGTATGCATGGTTATATTTTGATATGTCCATCATACCGGATTCTTAGGGAATATGGAATGCATCGCAAATTGTATCTGCCGCTATAAATTCACAATTGCTGGATGGGTTTATCGTCTATAGTGTCGATGCTCAATTTGCTTGATTTGGGTTGAGATGGATGGATGGATGGATGGATAGATAGGACGGAGTGGAATGAAGAAAAGACAGTGCTGGGATTGAGATTTGTATACATGTATACAGATATTGATGACTGGCTGGCTACTGACAAAATGGAAGGAATCGATAGATAAAATCAAATTAATAGATAACAAAAACATGTCAAAACTTTATGGGAAATACGGAAAGAAATGTATTGGTATACTAGCTGTGTAGGATGGATTTGTATGCTTATATCTTTGTAGGTTTGTACGGGTACTTGTAGGTTTGTATATGGTATCTGTTTTAAAGAGATACTTTGATATGCCTCGAGACACAATGTATGGCTATGAGTATGATTATGAGTATGATTATGAGTATGAATAAGAACGAGCAAACAAAGCTTGGAGAATAGTGGAATTGAAAAGGTGAGACGGGAGACTGGAGACTGGAGACTGGATTGGATCCGTGACTTTTTTTTTGAAAGGCAAGAAGGAAGGAAGAATTGTATTTGTATTTGTATTTGTATTTGTATTTGTATTTGTATTTGTATTTGTATTTGTATTTGTATTTGTATTTGTATTTGTATTTGTATTTGTATTTGTATTTGTATTTGTATTTGTGTTTGTGTTTGTGTTTGTGTTTGTGTTTTGTGTTTTGTAGTATTTTATAGGGATTAGCTGGGTATTTCTTTCTTTCTATCTATTGGTAGAAAATTCGGAGGGTAGAGAGGTTGTTGAATTTGGGATGGTTGGGGGTGATGGATGTTGGGGGTAGGTAGGAGGTCGGAGGTAGGAGATGGGTGATGAATGTTAGAGGTAGGTAGAAGGTAGGAGATAGGAGGTAGATAGATTTTAAATAAATAAGTGAATCAGTGGGTCTTTTACGAAGAACTTAGAAGAGAACTGGACGGTTCGTGTTGATGGGATGGAAATGGAGATGGTGATGGTGAGGTCTGGTGTAGTGAATTATAAGGGTAAGGTAAGGTGTGGTGTGGTAGGATAGGGTAGGGTAGGGTAGTGAGTGATTTATTGGAGACTGTTAGGAATAGATAAACTCGAGGTAGGTAGGTAGGTAGGGCAGGACTGGGATGGGGTTCGGGATTGAATGGATGGATGGATGAATGGATCTGTACTCTGTATGGAAACGTGGATCATGGGATTTGGGATTTGTTTTTTTGATTGTGGGGGTTTTCGTATCGGAGAGGATGGGACTTGGGAGAGGAGGAGAGGAGTGGAATTGATGGTCGATTGATTGAATGAATGAATAGATGCATGCATGCATCTATGTGTACGGAGTGCTAGGTATGTAAACGTGGATGGATTATGGTAGTTGGTATAGTGGTTGGTATAGTTAGTACTTGATTTTTGGAGTTATCGGTATGTATGTATGTTTGTTTGTCTACACGGTCGTATGAGAGAGGATAGTATGAAAAGTATGGAACAAATAGCATAGGAGAGAATGGAATAGGATAGATTAATAGGCGAAAGAGCGGTCAGGTCAATTGGTTTGGATGGGGGGTTCTCCTATTCAATATGCGTGTATGTGCACTGTGCACTGTTGACAAAGTATCTTACAAAGGTATGTACCGAGTACCATTTGTGGTAGACCGAGTTTCAACTTTCAAGACGTGGTTGATGAATGTGCTTCGTACCTGGGAAACGGACATCTTTCTGGATTCCTCGATGGGGCCGCTGGTGGGAGAAGCGGTACGGGGGACTAGGTAGGTAGGCAGGTAGCTACCCAGGTTTTGCTATCCAACTATACGAATGATTGAATAGAAAGAACACGTCTGTAATGTCTCAATGTCTCATTTGATATTGAGAATGTATGTGTGTGTATGAAGGAGGTACGGAAGAGGACCTTTTCGGACCATGGCGTGTCTG